GTCTTCACAACAGTGGTGTGAGAGGGGCATTATGCCCTCTCTACAGATGGGGAAACAGCCCCAGAGATTCATCCTAAGCTGGGTCACCACCGTCCCCAAGGGATGGTTTTCTGCTCTTACCTCCGAGGGCACATCCTCTCATCACCCCAGAAAGTTGGATTGGTTTCTGGAAGCAGAGTGGGTGACAGCTTAACAGATATGGATTCCAGGCCCTTCTCTGATGCCTTCTCCCATGGCCTTGGAGAGAATAGTTCAGAGGGGATTGGAAGAGACTGCAGTAACCACAGTTAAGGCAGCCATGGTTGGTGAACATGAGAGACTAAGAAGTTTGTCTCCATCCATGTCTATGAGCTTGGCTCTGATGCTCTGTTCTCCCATTTCAAGCCATGCAATCAAAGAAACCACAGCTCAGAGATTGTGACTCTCCCACAGTCCCAGAACTAGAAAGTGGCAGAGCTGGAATCCAAATCCAGGGTTTCTTCCTGACCCTATTTCACTACCAATGAGTAACTTCAACCTGGTGTAAGGTTTTCCTGATGAAACTTGGTGATGAACTGGAGGAAACACTAGTTTTCCAGTTTGTCTCTGACCTAGCTATTTGGCTTGTCTGTCCTATTCTGAAAGACACTTTCCTACGACTACTGCACAGTTGTTTTCCCAACAATGCGAAACAGGAGAGCTACTCTTCGGGGCAAAAACCAGCCCCATCCCTCTGTTTCTGAGCTCCTTAAAATGCCAGGTCCCTCAGCAAGCAGGTGAACACCTCAAGAACAGGACCCAGGTCTCATGGCCCAGCTCCTGGCAGAGTGCTTGGCACATGGAAGGCACTCAGTACTTACTAGGTGGCTGTTTGGAGAAATGGTTTGCACAAAGCTGTTTCTGCTAACAAAGTGAGACTCCTGGGCTCATTGTCTTGCAAGCTGCTTGACCTTGGCTGGTCACTTAACCTCCCTGGGCCTCAGTCTTTTCATCTGGAGATTGCATTGATCTCTGAGATGTTTCTCCCCTGGCTGTGTTCTCACACTGTATGAAATAGCAGTACATTCTAGTGGAGAAGATGGTTAGTTTCTTCGTAGATTGTGTCATGATTTTTAGCCTGAAAGAGACACTCATAAACCATGCTTTTCATGAGTCACCCATGAAAGCAGGTAAAGTAGAATCTAACGTTAAGCTTCAGAAATAGCCCTGCAAAATCTGGGTGGAAAATGTGTTTTTACAGGATTCGCTAGCAGCAATCTCAAATACACACCAATGCACATCACCATCAACTCCTTTTCACAAAACTTTCACAATCACATCATGAATTATCTGAAAACTTTCTTCAAGATTCAGGAAGAACTGAATGCATATAGTAGATGGCACATGGGCCTTGGAACTCAACAGACCTGTGCTGGAAGTCCAGCCCCATCCATGGATGTTCTTAGAAAAATTATCCTCTCTGTACTCCATTTTCCTCAACTGTAAGATAGGCTTAATAATACCTCTCTCCTAGGTTATTATGAATATGAAATGAGGTAATTCCTGGGTTGTTGTCAGGACATAGTAAGGGGCTTGTGGGTCAGTGGCCAGCACACATCAGGAATGCACACATTGCTCATCTTCTTTGTTTTTATTAACATCTCCACTGTCTCTCAGCAAAGCCAAAATCAAAAGAAGAATGTGCCTAGAGGTTTAAGGCATCCAGGACACATTAATGCTTACAGTTGAAGCAAATATGTGTACGTGTGTGGGAGGGAAGTTCGCATTCCAGGGACCGACTCTGACCAAAGTTTGAACCAGGCTTCTCTGCTGTATAGCTAGCTAGTGGTTACGCAGGAAAGGCTATGGTTTAGGGAGGCTGGGAGAGATGTGGCGGGAAATGGGAACCAGGAAGGATATTATTTTTAAGGGTCAAGCAGGAGCCTTGGGCCTAGTAGCAGCAGAACAGGAGAGCTGATCTGAGACTTCCTCAGCAAGTAAAATCACCAGAAGTCCTGATGACTTGGATCTCAAGCGTGACAGACACTGAGGCACCTGTGATGCCTCACAGGTCTGGGGCTTGAGTGACTGGTAAGGTGGGGACCGACCATGGAGATGGTGATCTCAGGAAGAGAAGCAGACTTGAGTGGGAGATGCCAAGTTCTCTTTTGAAACATGTTAACTTAGGTGCCTAAGGACTCCTAGGTGGCGGTGTCCACCAGGCATCTGAATTTGTACCTGTTTGGGATTTAAGAGAGAGAGAGCAGGGCCCACGATCGCTGCAGAAAGTAAAGCTTCAGGGGACGGGGGCTTGTTTGGGCAAGGAAACAACCACCAAACAGCTTTCTTTTCTGGAGAGAATTCTACAAAAGACATTCCCGAGGATAGTTGGGCAGTATCCTGGACTCAAGAGGCTTAAGAGGTCATCTAAGCTAAACCTCATTTTGCAGGTGACGAAATTGGGGCCAACATGCCCCACAGGCCTTCTCCAGGATCCCATAGCAAGGGCCACCATTACCAGCTCCAGGTCTCTCAGGGCACCCCCTTCTCCACACTGGGGGTCTCCATCTGTACTTCCTCCCCTTGACTCTCCCTTCCCTTGGCTGGGATGAGCTAGGCTGAGGAAGGTGGTAGGAACAGCCAAATGCAAAAGGACTAGGAATAGGAACGGCAGTGGTGATGGGACAGGGCGGAGAGAGCAAGGCTCAGTTGGAGCCTGAGCACATGGCTCCAGCACACTGGTTAAGGGCCAACAAGCAGACAGAGAAAGACCCGTCCAGAAACCGCCCTCTCACGTGATTAAGTAGGAATCTCTTAATCAGATGGATGGATTTTTCTTTCATTGGTTCATGTATCCTAGAGTGAAGCAGGGTTCAGCAACAATATTACTCCAATCTTGTTCAGATAAGTAGGCTGGTGTCACTGAAAAGAGTGATGTCACTTAATACTTGAACTTCTCCTAAGGTACAGGTTAAAAGCACTCTGTCATCAGAATGTATTTTTCATGGTCTGTGAGCATTAGGCTCTTCTCCAAGGCTGTTGAAGACAAAGAACTGGAGACAACTGAACTTGCAAAAGGAGTTTTTACCCAGTCTTTTGCCTCCTTACAGCAGTATTTCAAATTATCCCTTTGTTGTGCATCCTCAGAGTTTTTTACACACTAGGGCAACGCACAGTAAAGAGGGAAATGGATGGTTGTGAAAGAGGGCTCTACCATCAGCTCTAATAAAGAGTAATGGAGAAGCTGAAGATGTAGAAACCAGTTCCCTTGAAGATCTAGAAACCAATACCTTATCATTGTTTATATACGCCTTGGAAAATTCAAATTTTGTAGCCAGGGCCAGGAATGGTGAGGTGAGTGAGACACTCCCTGGGGTACAAAATTTAAGGAAGTACCTAAAAGCTCAGTAATTATGATAAAAAATGTTTGAACACGATGTTTTAAAAAATAAAAATTAATGCAGGGCTTCCCTGGTGGTGCAGTGGTTCAGAGTCCGCCTGCCGATTAAGGGGACACGGGTTCGTGCCCCAGTCCGGGAGGATCCCACATGCCGTGCAGCCGCTGGACCTGTGAGCCATGGCCACTGAGCCTGCGCGTCCGGCCGGAGCCTGTGCTCCGCAATGGGAGAGGCCACAACAGTGAGAGGCCCATGTACCGCAAAAAAAAAAAAAAAGAAAAAATTAATGCAAAAAATCTGTGATAAAAAAACACATCAAAGCTTAAAGACAGGATCCCAGGACAGGTGTACCCCAGCTTGAAGTCCACAAATCTCAGTGTCTCAAGTGTAAGAGCATTCCCGGCTGATTAAAGATGGGTAACGATTCTCTTGCTCATACTTCCACCTGCTGCTGGAAGCAGGCAATGCCACGGTGGCACCTCTCCACCAGGACCCATGCTCACATGCAGAGGCCTGGTGCCCTCTTGCGGGCATCCACCCAATGCAGGGAACTTCACAAAATCCGTGGCCACCTACATCCTGCTAGATAGCTGAGTGGGGTAAAAAGAGCCCAGGATTCAGAGCTGCCAGACCGAGATTTGCATCGCATTTTCCTTCTCACTTACTAGGCCGTCTTGAAAAAAATCACGTTACTGTTCTGAGCCTCAGTTTCTGCACCTATAATGCATCTCATCCATCATTACCTCTTCCTATAACTGTGGAATTACACGAGATGCTTTCTGTGACAATGCCAAGCAGGCTGTCTGGCACAAAGTACGCACACAGTTCATTGTAAGCTACCTACTCCAGCCCAGCCCACTCCCCTTGATCAAATCAAACTATCATCAATTTATTACTGAAGGCAAGACACACTAGAAGACAACCAGGGAGAAAAGATGTGGCAAAGTCCACACAGTGGATGATGCCATGGCTGATGTGGTAGGGAAGACCTCCCCTAAGGGTGTCACTAGAGCTGGGCCTACATGGTTGGATGGGCCAGGTCACACCAGGAGCTGGCCAATAGCCTCTGGGGGTCACTAGGCCACTTCTCTGATGTTTTATCTCAGGGAAGGTCCAGTAATGTGAGACAAGTATCACGGTGGTGGATGGTGGAAAGGCCAAGGCCCTTGTAATCCTGGCTCTGCTGCTTACTAGCTGTGTGACCAATGGAAGTCACTTAACTTCCCTTAGCCTCAACTTCCTTCTCTACAAAACTGGGATAATAACACGCCCGTCCTGGGTGGAGTGCCTGCGAGTCTGTGGGCTCAATAAGTAGTAGCTGGTATTGCTAGGGTGGAACTTTCTGTGAGGAGCGGGAAGGAGGGGGACACACCAGTCAGGCAATGTTGGCCACTGTCATATTTGGCTCCTGAACCAGCCCCCTTGTTGGGCAAGAAGGCGGATGCAAATATCCCCCGCGGGCAGCCTGTGCTCTCACCCCGACAGAACTCAGCATGTCAGTGCACCGCAGAAATGAATCCCTAACAGGAGGGTGTCAGGTGGGAGTGTCCCTCCTCCTCTGGAGTTGTGGAGGGGATGCTGGATTCCAACACGAGGAAGTGGAGTCTGCAGTAAGAAGACTGGAAATCTGAATAAGGCCTGTAACTTAGATAACAACATAGTAACAGTGTTTATTTCCCGACCTTGATAACAGTACTCTGCTTCCGTGAGAAAATGTCCTTGCTTTCAGGAAACACACTGAAATATTTAGGGGTAAAGGGGCATCACGTCTGCATTTCACTGTCAAACGGTTCAGGAAAAAATAGAAGGATAAGCAAATATGGGAAAACATTAATATTTGTGGAATCTGGATGAAGGGTATACGGGAATTCTTGCAACTTTTCTGTAAGTGGGAAATCCAATGAAATATAAAGTTATTTAATTTAAAAAAGGCAGCAGCAGTCAGGGGTTCCCTCGTTCACCCCCCCTTCTTTTCCTCCTCCCCCTCCTCTGCACCCAGCTCGCCATCCTTCACCACCTCCCTACTCGCCTCCTTCTAAGCGACCTCTCCCTGGGCTCCCGGCCAGGCTCCTGGACTCCCCACCCCTCGGACCCGGCACAGACCGCAGCCACTCTCTGCCAAGCTGCACCCAATTTATTTGCAAGAGGAGGTCCCCAGCGCGCGGGGGCAGGGATGCGGGGTGGGAAGGTCCCACGGCCCCTCTTCCGGGGCTCACGATCCCACCCTCCCCTCGCCCCACCCCCGGATTCTGCCCCCGACCCCGCCCCTCTCGGCCCGCTAGACGATGGCGAACTGGCAGACGTAGGGCAGGTTGTCTCGGCAGCGCTTGTCGAACCACTTGCCGTTGGCCGCACCGGCCAGGGCAGCGCAGTTCTCGACCTTGCCGCCGTCGGGCTGTGCGGTGATCTCTGTCTCCCAGTTCTTGTAGGTGATATGGCTGCCAGTCATGTCCACCCAGGTGCCTTCGGCCGCCATGTCGTTGAAGCCCAGCCAGACCTCGGCCTCGCTGCCCACACTCTGGCTCAGGTACTCGTACAGGGCGTCATTCTCGGAGCCCGTATGCGGGGTGCCCAGGGTGCCCCCTCGCGAGATGCAGTCCTCGCTCGCCTCGTGGAAGGTCTTCGCCTGGACGAAGGCCAGAAAGCACTTCATGTGCACCTTGATACCCTTCAGGCAGACTAGGGGGGAGGGGAGGAAATGGACGTCACCCAAGGCCTCCGGTTCCGGAGCCAAGAGCCAACCGCCAGGGGTAGTCACACCATCCTCCATCCCATCCCTGTACATCCTGTCCTCCCTGGACAGGCTCCAGACCCAGGCCAGAGGGCCGTGCTGTGGTGGGCACTGATGCACATCTCAGATCCCCATTTAAGAGGTGGTGGAGCCCCTGCTGCTGGGAGTGAGGTCAGCCCCCTCAGCTGCACACGGCCCCTCCCTCAAGGTCACACCCCTCTCCTGGGTGCCCCATCCAGTGCCCAGGGGAATAGGTAGGGTCATCTCTACCCCAAGCAGGATAATTCTGAAGGGGCCTTTTAGCTTGGAGGCTCCACAGCGTGGCAGAGGCTGGCCTTGGGCCTGTGCTGCTACTCAGCTCCCCCTCTGCCCAATCTACTTCCAACACCTCCCTCCCTTCACAGTTGGGACCCCGGGCTCTCCCTAATAAATGAGCTCCATCTCAGAGTGGGCTTCCTGGAGAGCCCAGGCGGAGCCACCTGCTCTGATCTTCCTCCAGCCCCACCCTCCCTAAGATCAAGAAACTGCAGGGCCAGGGGACATCCCTACCCAGAACCTAGACCACACTCCAGGTACCCAGGACCCCAAAGCCCTGACCCAGGGGCCCAAGCAAGCTCCCAGAGTCTGCCAGGGGCCTCTTCTGGGGCGGCGACTGGGAGGACGGAGCTGAGACGGGCAAGCCCCTGGGACAGAAGAGATGGCCCAGGTGGTGGGCCAGGGGCTAGCTCTCTCAGGCATGGAACTCGAGTCCAAGATTCTAAATTTGAATCTGGTCTCAAAGGTTGTGATGAAGGTATATATTTGGTCAGCTTAGGAGCATAGAATGTTTTTACTTAGCAGTTTGGTTTTCTTTTTTTTTTTTAATATTTATTTATTTATTTGGCTGCACCGGGTCTTAGTTGTGGCACACGGGATCTTCGTGCGGCATGCGCGATCTAGTTCCCTGACCAGGGATCGAACCCAGGCCCCCTGCATTGGAAGCGTGGAGTCTTAACCACTGGACCACCAGGGAAGTCCCAGCAGTTTGTTCTTCAGCTGGGTTTGTAACTTAAATGTTTAGGCAGTTGGGGTACATGCCTCCATTTGTCCTCTTGCTGCTGACCCCAAAAGCGTTAGGGGCAGGTCTGCACTCCACCCCACCCCCATCCCCTCACTCACTCACCCTCTCACTCAGTTGCTTTCACTTAACACACATCTCCATGTCCCCGTGAGCACCTGACACTCCTGGAGCTCTGAACTCCGGGCCTGCAGCATCACAGAGGTGTCTTTACTCACAGATGCCATCCCAAGGCAGCCAGCCCTACCGCGTGCTATCCTGCAGCTCATCCTAGGCAGGTTTCATTGCCCTTCCCAGCCTGGCGCCACACTGCCTTTCCTTCCTGCTGGGGACTCTGACACACCACCAAGACCCCCTTGGGGTGAAGGATTGACTACCCCAGCTGCTGGGAGCGCTGCTGGGAGACAACTCTTAACTCTCAGCCCCTTTGGGGATTGCATCAGCGGAAGACAGCCCCCTCCCCCATGGTGTGCCCCCTTCCCAGAGCAGCCTGTACCCAGTGACTGGCCCATGAGCCCTCTTGCCCCAACTCAGGACAGCTCTGAAGGGCCCTCCGGTCGTCAGGGCTCCCTCTGCAGTTGGCTGAGGCTTTCATTGAGACGCGCAGGGCACTCTTCCCACTCCTGCGTCCTTCTGTCTCTTCCCTTCCCCAGGTGCTCATCCTGGGTGTGCTCCCTAATAAACCTCCTGCAGGCTAAACTCCACCTCGGGGCCGCTTCTTGGGAACCCTACCTGCAACACTCCCTCCAACATAGTTAGTCCTCAATAAGTATCAGTTCTCAGTGCCTTACCATCGTTACTGACATTTTGTCACTCTGGCCTATTCATGATCCCGTTGATTCTTTTTTTTTTTTTTTACGGTACGCGTGCCTCTCACTGTTGTGGCCTCTCTCGTTGCAGAGCACAGGCTCAGCGGCCATGGCTCACGGGCCCAGCCGCTCCGCGGCATGTGGGATCTTCCCGGACCGGGGCACGAACCCGTGTCCCCTGCATCGGCAGGCGGACTCCCAACCACTGCGCCACGAGGGAAGCCCGATCCCGTTGATTCTTGCTGGCCTTCCATAGCTTTGCTCCTACCGTGCCCTCTGCTTGGAATCCTTCTTTATCTTCCCACACGTGCGGGTTCCAGTGAATACATTGATTTCATGAATATATTGAGGCTCCCAGAGCGGGACCCTGGCTGGGTCACCTCTGCCTCCTTGTGCCTGGCAGAGGCTCGCTGGGGGGAGGACCTCATGTGTGTTTGCTGATTGGGGGAGGGAAGGGGCAGATGGCGGGACGGGAGGGTTGCTCCCCTAACCCTTGATTCTCTCAACTCTTCAGTTAGGTCAGGAGTGCTTTGTGTGGGGTTATTGACAAGGTGATTTGCAGGTAGTGGTAGTAAAGGAGCGGGTGATGAGAGGGAGAAGGTCCCCAAGGAGGCCAGGAGCCCATGAACCTCCTGGGAATCAGCAGACATGGAGGGGGTGTTTAGTTCTCCATATGCCATGGACTTTGCACGGGGAGGTCCCCACCACATCACCCACCTCAGGAGGCAAGTGGCATCTGGGTTGCATGGTCTTGGCACAAGCACAAAGCTTAGACATGAGACCTTAGAGCTTGCCCTGCAAGTCCACCCCCCGCCCTTCGACTTTACAGATGAGGAAACTGAGGCCCTGAACAACACTGTGCTCATTTTAAACATTCCCCCATGTGTTAAGTATTATCGTTAGTCTGTATTCTGTGTTCTCCAGGGCAAGGTCACGAAGAAGTAGGTGAGTTTGAGATGTGTGGAAAATAGAGACAATGTGAAAGGAACTTGGTGGAGAGAAAGAGAACAGGTTGCCCAGGCAGGCTGGCCAGGCAGTGCTAGGGCAGGTGGCTATGAGCTGTGTCCCCGGGCTCCGCAGCCGTGTATTTTGTCCATCCTGGTTTAGCTGGTTCGTGCAGGGCCAGGAAGACCAAAGCCCACCTTTCCTCACACCCAGCATGCACCAGGCAGGCTGCTTCCATTCCCATCCTGAACTGCAGTAACTAGCCAGGTGGGCGTGGCAAAACCAGAACCTCTCTATGCCTCAGTTCCCCTCTTTAAAATAGGGGTGATAAATCCTGCCTCAGCATAATGATGATGATTAAGAGTGGCAGCCTCAGCAAAGCAGCTGACACAGGGAATGAAGCTCACGCCCTGTAGGGCTGTGGGGGCTGGCTGAGCGGAGGGTCTCCTGGGGTTCATTAGGGTTGCCTCTGCTCCACGAGCGCTGCAGGGCTCGCACTTCCAGTGGGCGGTAATGGATTCTTGTGGGAGAGCTTGTTGTCCTTTCGGTACATTGCTGCTTCCACATGTCAGGGGATCTTCCTGAGAGAAGCAGGCTGAGGAGGGGGCTCTGTGAATCCAGTGCCCTGGACTACAGGGGCCAGCCAGGGCCCTGGTACTGGCTCGAGGCTACAGGTGGGTTGCTGGCTGCTGGCCTGAGGCCCTCTGTCTGATGTACCCCTGCCCAGAGAGGCCGCCACGTGCTCTCACCCGTCTGCAGGGCCTGCTGCTCTTTCAACAGGGCCACCTCCTGGGCCAGGCTGTCCAGCTGGGTCTTGAGCTCCTCAAGCATCTTCGGGCTCACGGCATCTAGGATAAAGTCAGAAGGAAGTGGGGACAATCACGAACACGTGAGAAAGGCAGTAGGGAGTGAGGCAGGGCAGGGACTGGGAGGGGTGGACCACTGTCAGCCACAAGGGGACGAGGGAAACGACTCCCCTCGACCTTGATGTCTTGGCATACTCTCTCTCTCCCTGTCCCTGCCGGTGGTAGTCTAAGTGATCGCTCATGATTTTCCTTCTACCGGGGGACCATCGTTCTCTTGCTCTTGCTAAAGTGAGACGTGTACCGCATTGTTCAGGAGAGTTGCTGGGATCAGATGGGGTTGGGATTTGCAGGAGCAGAGTGGAGGGTGCAGACAGCTCCTTCGGTGACACCCAACCACCCTCCCAGCTCTAGAGGAGAACAGAGCACAGGAAGGAGGGCCAGGGGCCCTTGAGACCTCCCAGATTCACTTCCCCAGGCTGAACGAACAAGGCACGGACCAAGCAGGGCAGGCACTCGGCCTGGGGCTGTGTGGAGCAGCACAGGTGAACGTGTGTACAGGCTCTGAGGTTGCATGCATGCGGGTGACCTGGGCAAGTTCCACAGCCTCCCTGAATCCACTGTCCTCATCTGTAAAACGGGATGATAATAGCCCCACCTCCAAGGACTCTGAAGAAGAATAAAGACTAAGAGAAATGAAGCACGTGACCAGCGCTGGGCTCATTGTCAGCCCTGTGACGTGGGTAATGTGTCTCTTCTATACCACCACCAATTCACAGACGGGAAACTGAGGCCAGACTGAAGCAACTCGCCTGAACTGGCAGAGCCAGCAGCCCGAACCCAAGTCCGCACGGCTGCAAGCTTGTTCTCCCCACGTCCGTGATGGCAGCACGTTTCCTAATGTGAGCCTTCCTGAGCACAAAGGCCCGTTCGGAGCCAGTTATTCATGAGAGGCAGATGTGAAATGTCTTCCTCTGCATGTGTAAGTTGAGAGCTAAGTGGGTGGACCCCAGTCTTTCTGAAATCCCAGGAGCTTCAGGAAAGGCTGAGCTCAGCTTGGGTAGAGGGTGGGGAAGCGCTTCCATGGTCCATTTGGCTTTGCTTGCATAAAGTCCACGGTATGAGGGGTGAAGTCAGACCTTTGTCCACCCCAGATTCCTTTGCAGGGGAATCACAGGAAACGTGAGCAAGAAACATACTGGCATATATAGAAATTCATGATGTGACTTACCAAGTATGAGGAAATTAACACCCAGATGAGCAAGGCAAAACAGGGAGTGTTTGGGGCTGGCAAACTAGCCTGACTGGGTTATGTGTGCCTCACAGTGGGCCTCTGCCTCAGTGGTTCACAGCAGCTCTGTACTCAGTCCCATGATGTACCAGCACAGGGCACCGCATAAAGTTGTGAAAGTTGGGTACTACACAAGGGCACTCAGCTGAGGGGACAGGTGGGGGCCCATGTCCAGCCTCTAAGCCTTGCCCTGGCTGTGCTGCTTGACCACACCAGAGAAAGGGATGCTCTTCTATAATTTGTCAGCTCAGAGCGGAGAGCCTTTTGTGATTTGCACCAAGGTGCCCGAGTGTACGAGGGGCCCTCCAGGGACTGGCCAAGGACCAAGGTGCTAACAGAACTCCACTGAGGAAGGCGTAGGAGTTGGGTGTTTCTACAGCTCTGGGCTAGGAGTCGGAGCCCTTGTGCTGCCCCTCACTACCTCTGAGCCTCAGATTCCTAATGCATGTGATTGAAATGGATGCCCTCAGGTCCCTGTTCTAAGAGTCTGTGACCCCCTGTGAGGCCATCCTCCCCACCTGAGCTCCTCTGCCAGGTGTGGCCACATGGCCTCTGGAGCTCCAGCCGCCTAAGCCCTCCCTGCCTCACATCTGGCTGACCCCCATACAGCTGGCTCAGGCCACACCCCACACCAGGGGCAGATGAGCTCCCAGAAGCAGCCTGGGCTCTCCCCCTTCTCATCCCACCCTGGGGGCCAGCATGGGGGCATAGCACATTCTGTCCTCTCCTCCCCTCGTCCATCCTGCCAGCTTGTTCTCCACCACTCAGCGGGCACTGAGGGGTCTCCTTGGGCACGACTGTCCCTCCTCCGGACACCCTCCCCCACTTTTGTGCACTGGCCCCTGACTAGGTTGTTCCTTTGATCCCCAGTCCTGGCTGCTCCCAGGAATCACTGGAGACTGGTGGGAAAGGCAGATGCTGGGGAGCATTCCAGGCCCATGATCCAGCATTTCTGGGGGTGGGTCCCAGGTGCCTGGATTTTAATGTATTTCCCAGATGATGCTGATGATGCCTGAGGGAGAACCACCGTGGTTCGCAAATTGATTCACATCTTAAGAGCAGGGATGCTAATTGTCTGCTAGAGTGTTCAGCATGTATACTGGCCCCTACCTGGAGAAAGAGCTCTGTAAGCATGTGTGGTGTAGGTTGGCAGCAGGTCGAAGGAAAGAAAACCAAGCTGCAGTGGGTTTCAGCAAGAGGCAGGGCTGGACAGGACACTCCACTCTTGCTCTGTCAGCTGTTATGCGGGCCTCCTCCTGGACCTCCATGGGCCACCTCCGTGGGGACCACATGGAGCTAGGGTTCAAGTGTGACAGCTGAAGAGGACCAGGGCATTGTCTGGTTTGACCTTCTTGTCCATATGATCAAATACATGATTTACATGATTAAATAAATACATACTAAATCTTTGGTAAACTTGAGAAATTAACAACTATTTTCCACATTCAAAAATTCTGTTATTTGCCTTTGGAACTGTGTATCCTTTACAAAGAACATCCTTGTTGGCAATTTCAGCTAACGTTCGTGGACACACCATGCATGCTGTGAGTCTTCTTTTTTTTTAATGAACGTTTTGTAAAAGGTAATATAGCCATATAACTTTAAAAAACCCAAACAGTTCAGAACGTCAAAGTCTCCTTCCCAATCAAGTCTGCCCTTAGCTCCCTAGTTTTTCTTCCCAGAGGTAATCACTGTTACTAACTCTTGTGGATCCTTCCAGAAAATTCTATGCATATACAAGTAAATATATTTTTTTATATAAGTCCCTTTTTCAAAACCAATGTCAGCATAGTATCCATTCAAAGTATTGAATTTTTTGTTTACTTTATGAACTGAACCTTGGGGATTATTTCCTATCAGCACCCAGATCCGCCCATTCTGTGTTGCAGGCCTGTGGGTCTCCATTGTCCTAATGTGCCCTTATGTACATTGTCCGTGACCAGTGGGCAGCTGTCCATTTACGGAAGAGGCTCAGAGAGGGGCCTGAGGGCGGCCCATGCCCCTCTGCCTCACCTTTTCTGTGCTCTTGGCCCCAGCCACCTGTTTCTCTGCTTAATAAGCACTCTCATCCCCTGGAACTCTCTCTCCTCCCCTTGGAGCCCTGTGGGGGGTGACAGCCCCGATCATTGCCATGGCATTTCACTAATGTTGTCTCAAAACAGCCCGCGGTGACCTCACTGCAGGCAGGGCTCCAAGGGCAGGCCTTGCTGAGGCCAAGGCGACCCAAGGACACCCCAAACCCAGAGGCAACAGAGGGAGAGCAAAGCTGCCTCCACTATCCGAGTTTGGGTTTGAACATTTTTATTTCCTCGAGGCTGTGATACACTATAGAACTAAGAATTAACTTGTTCTTTCCCCGCCCCCGCCGTGCATCAAGTATATCCTACGTTCCAGACACTTCACATGTTTTCTATCATTAAATCCTCACAACCAGTGTTGTGAGCAAATGCCACAATCCCTATTTTACAGTTGAGAAACCCGAGGTTTGGAGATGCCAAGGCAAAGCCTGCCAACACTCCTGATGAGAGTCGGACATCTCCAGACTTCTGAGCCAAAGGTTTGATTTCTGTAAAATATTGGGGTGGTGGGGGAGTGGGTGTCAGTTTAGGTGATCTGGAAGCTTCTTTCTGATTCTAAGAGCCAGTGACTCTTACAGTTTTGACAATTGCCCCTGCTGCTGGAGGACTCTCCCAGGTCCCAAGGGGTACTTCATTGAAGTTCCCTGGACTCATGGAGAAGGAAAGTGAAGGAGGGGAAGGAGAGTGAGGACCAGCAAAGGAGAGGGCGACCAGCTCCCTGGAGGATGGGGAGGGGCTCCACCCCCCTCCTTACCTTTCTTAACATTTGCAGCCTTCTTGACCTTGGAGGTAGGTGTCTCGGCAGTGACCTGGGTCAGGAGGGAGAAGAGGCAGAGGAGCAAGTAGGGCCCCCAAAGCTCCATGCTGCTGCACCCACCGGCTGGGGCTGCTGCTGCCGCCTGCAGTGGACCTGGGTCAGAGAGCACTAGTGGCTGTGGCCTGGGCTGCACGTCTTAAGGCAACTGCCACGACGACCTCTGTCCAGGAAACCCTCCCAGAGTTGGCTGAGAGAGTGCCAAAAAAAAGCTTGCAAAAGGAGGAAGCCCTTGGGGCCACGGAGCCTCGCTGCCCAGGGAACACCCACCCAGCATCCGGGCCCCGCCTTCTAAAACAGAGTCATTATTTTCTAGGATTCTGAGAAATACACGCTAGTTGTCATAGCTCACATCTGCTGAGCAGTTACCTTGGGCAGGCGCTGGGTCATACTTTTCCCTGGCCTCGTTGAGGCCTCACACCAGCAATATGAGGGAAGTGCTGTCATTTCCCCATTTTACAGTTGAGGAAACTGAGGCTCAGTGAGTTTAAGGGAACCCAAGCTACCCAGCTGTAAGGGGCAGCGCCAGTATTTGACCCCAAGTGGGGTGACTCCAGAATGGTCCCACAATGATGTCTCCTTACAGAGTGCACTGGGGCTGACTGCTGGATTGTCTAGAATGTTTGCTGTGATTCTTTTGTGGTCTGTCTCTATGCACTTGATGTATCTTTGGTTAAAAATACAAGGGAGTCCTCTCCTTTTTTCACTTTCTGTTTCTCAACTATCCTGTCTGAAGCAGAGGTGACCACGGTGGGAGAAGGGCAGCTGTGGTGCCCCAGAGTGGTGTCAGAGATGGAGCAGGGAGAAAAGAATGTCCCCATGAGGAGCAGTGTGGTGTGGGGTGTCAGGGTGCTGCAGCAGGGTGGAGGGGGGCACCCCCAGGGGAACAGAGGCCCTACATGGAGTGTTGGAGTCCAGGTGAGGAGAAGAGGTGGTCCGCATGGGAGAGTGGGTGGTGGCAGAGGTGAGAGAGTGGTTACGTACAGGGGCACCCATCGAATAAGTACATTTATTAAAGACCATGGGAGCCAGGTTTCTCATTGTCAGAAAAGGGAGGTACAAATACAGAGAGAAAACTAGAATGAATCCTATGGTGTAGGATTAAAATTGGAGCTATCGGTGTGCAGTTGTGGACTTTGACACCTAAAGAGGAATCTATAAATGTCAGTGCAAATGTGCACATCAGTCTGCCAGCTGTCTGGGTGGAGCAGAATTGCCTCCAAAGCCTCGAGCACTCCTGGCATCCAAGTGCCACCTTCTATAATAAATACAGCTTTCCACTAAAAGGAACCAGAGCACCTTGGAGAAATGGCTGATTTCAGGGCTGGGGCAGGAAAAGTAGAAAATGAGCCCAGAACAAGTTGTTTTGCCAGAAAGCAAGGAATTGTTTAAAGAAGGATGGGAACGTGCCAGGACACAGAGCCAGCTTGAAGGAGCTTCTTGGGGCCAAAATCAGGGACAGTTTGAACATCAAAATAGTGACAGTAACAGCAAAACAGGAAATCATGAGCATACACAGATATAAATAAATAAGCGAATACACGGGAAGTCTGATGAGCAACGGGGTATTTTCATCATCTCAGATTACTTGCCCACAAAATACTTATTAATTACAAAGAGGAAAGAGTCACCTCGCAGTGGAGAAGCCTGGAAGATGTCACTTGAATGAAGTGAGCAAAGTAAGCATCGTCAGTAATGGGCCAAATGGAGAGCCTGCAGCACCTGAGCGCCTGATGGGCTGCGGTGAGGAGAATGCGGCATCACCTCCGTGAGACTCCTGCCGAGGAAACGCCACACTAGCCCAACTGAGGGGCTTTCTACAAAACAACTGCCCAGCAACTTTCAGAACCGTCCAGGACATGTCTGAGGAACTGTTTCAGACTGAAGGAGATTGCAGGCACAGAGCAACGCGTTTGGACCAAACCCTTCCGCTCTCATGGACGCCCTTGGGACAACTGGAGAAACTTGATGGGTCTGAGGAGCACGTGGCAGGGATGTACCCCTTGGATGTTACTGTCCAGTTTGGATGGTGTGTTGTGACTATGGAGGAGAGTGGCCTTGTCAATAGGAAACATGCACTAAAGCACAACCTTCGGGCATCAGGTCGACAACTCACTTGAAAATGGCTCAGGGGAAAAATATTCTTTGTACTGTAGTTGCAGATTTTCTGTGAGCTTTAGATTGTTCCAAAAGAAAATGCAGTGCTATGTAATTCAGGCTTTTCTTCCAGGGACCCCGCCTTGCCCCATCTGATTTGGGGAGGGATGTGCCTGCAGCCCAGCCTGGCTGACCTCCCTGCTGTGGTCCCCAAGGGCAGGAGCCTGGGGCAGGCAGCAGGCACTCTGTTGGCCCTTTCTGTCAGGGGCCATCCCTCACATTCTCAAGAGTGGGAGAGGGTTTTATATTCACAGCTGGCCCCTCAGTGGGATGGTTTAGGGCTGAGGATTATGCAACCTAACAGGCAGGGAGCCTTGCTTCCTGGAACTTTGGGTGGGTAGCACATAGCAAGAGAAAATTAAAATTCTTTTTGAAACTCCATTGCTTTCTTTTTTTTTTTTTTGTGGTACGCGGGCCTCTCACTGTTGTGGCCTCTCCCATTGTGAAGCACAGGCTCCGGATGTGCAGCCCCAGCAGCCATGGCTCACGGGCCCAGCTGCTCCGCGGCACGTGGGATCCTCCCAGACCGGGGCATGAACCCGCGTCCCCTTGCATCGGCAGGCGGACTCCCAACCACTGCGCCACCAGGGAAGCCCTCCATTGCTTTCTTGATTTTCTCACCTCAGCTTTTTGGCAGCAGGGAAATGGGAGGAGTTTGTTTCCAAGTGTGAGGCCAGGACAGGCCTGATTGTTGAGGCCGTGCCCTGGCTATGCTGGAGAGGAGGTCCCAGAGAAGCTCTGCTGTGGCCGTTCAGAAACCCGGAACCCCCTGCTCTAGGTGTCATCCCACAGGAGCCACACAGAGCCAGGCTGTGTCAGGACCCGCCTGGAACTGTTCTTGCCCCATCGGTCCCTCATTCACTTCACAATGTGCCCAGGCCTGTGTGAGGCCCTGGGAGTGCAATGTGAGGGGCCCCCTGTGCCAGTGGGACTGAGGTGGGCCTCAACAAAGGCAAGTGGCCCACCGTCCCTCAACCTTTGAGATAAAAAGCAGATGGGAAGAGGCCACCTGGTTTAACCACCACTCGATACGGGCTGTCCTTTTCCATTGAGCCTGTCCGATGTCTCCATGTGCTTGCTTAAATCCTTCCTGGGACGAGCAGCTCATTACTCTGCAAAGTAGCTGGTTCCATCATTAGACACTCGGCTTGTTATAAAGTCCCCCTGTGGTGAGGCAGGCAGGCCTCCGAAACATCACCCTGTGGTCCCTGGCGCCGGCCTCTGGAGCAGTCATTTAAGAGGCCAGCAAATGTTTGCAACTGGCCTTCCTGTCCCTCTTTGACTGCCTCCTCTCCGTGTTCCTTCCCCGCTTCCTCCCAACTTTTCCTCTGAGATATGGTTCCTGGACTTATCTTCCCCAAATCACCTTTGGATAGAATTCTGCTTGTCACTGTCCTCGCTGTGGTGTGTTTTCTCAAGCAGTCTGCCATGGGCAGGGGGCTGTGCCTCCCGTGGTCCAAATGGACACGCTGTTCAGAACCCGCCTCTTTGTAGCCACCATGCCTCACTTGCTGCCAGTGTTAATAAGCTTATGGCCATTGAACCCCCGGGTCCTCTTGTCCACCCCCAGCTCTCCCTGGCTAGGTGAGAACCAGCACTGCAGCCACCTCCAGTGGACTCACCAGCAGCCCCGGTGAGGTCTATGGATTTCATCGTCCCAGCGTAAAAGATCTTCTGGTGGCACCGTCCCAGAGGCCTCTACCAGCCGGTAGGGCAGCAGCAAGTGGGGGTGGTTTCAGCCAGGAGAACGATGCTGGGTTAATGTTCACGAATGACCCACCCTCAAGGAAAAGTCTATGAGCTAACACACCACCCTCAGGGCCCAGTCTTTTCACATCAGTTTCCCTGCACAAAGAATCATCTTGACAATAAAGCCAGAGGCAGAAAAATCTGAAGAGAGCTCTAAAAGGCACATTTCAGGTTTTAAGCGTTGTTTTGTTTTGTTTTGTTTTCCCTCCAAAGCTGTTGGAAGTCTGAGTATATAAAACAAGCTCTGGCCACCCCACCCATGTCAGCCCAAACAACATGAAAACTGGCCCAACGTGGAACCATCCCCCACCCCTACCCTCTCCCTGCACAGATGTTTCCTTTTAGCTCCACTGGCCCTATATCAACAGAAATGAGGCCCCGCCTATGGAGCAGAGAATTTCCACACTCTCTTCAAAGGTAAGAACATCCAGGGTGCACATCTCCAAGAATATATTGCAAGGGCAGTCTTGGCCCTTAGTCAGAACCAAAGACAAATGGCCTATTACCATGGTCTCAATGACCGTCATTAGGAAAGTCATTTGCTCCTTTCTGAACCCTTTTTAACACCTTGTTGTCATTCATTCAACAAGTATTGCCTCTGTCCTTGTGTGCCAGGCCCTGGGGCACACAGTACTGGGGGAGGCAATACCCCACCTAGCCAAGTTCTTGGCACCATGGGGCCACATCCCTTGTTGTTTTGTCCCTAAAGGTCAGCAGTAGCCTAGTGGAAAGAGAACTGGGAGTCTTGGATTCTAAGTGGAGCTCAGACACCTGGCACCTGTGTTTTCTGGGGCAAGTTATTCAAGACCCAGATCCCTCTTTCATAAAATAGGGCAATAATCTCTGCCTACACAATGGGATTCTTGTAAGGAGCATGTGGAGACCCTGTATGTGAGGCAGCTGGGCCACCTGCAGAGGTGTGGGAAAGGAGGACTGGTGAGAGAAGGTGCACCGCCCTCAGAGATGCATGGCCTCTGTCCACCACTTTACTCCTTCCACTCCAGGGCTGAGACAGTAAATGACCTGACTTGTAAGTTTGGGAAGAGTAAACTGGGCGTGTGGCCGTTTTGCACTTACCTGATGTCTTCAGCTATAATAGCTCACACAGGAAGAAATAGAAAATCTGATTAGTTTTGTAGGATACTATAGATTTCCATCTGCCTTTTTGACACCTGTCCCTCGACCCCTCCACAAATGGCCTTAAAATTCGACAAATATAAACCCAGTTGTGCATTTAGGGATCCTGAAGTTTCCAAATTATCACACTAGCCCTGCACAACCTCACTAGTTAAGTTTTGCC